TGGGGTGGGGACGAAGGAGAGATTCTGTGGTTTGTAGAGTCCTCCCCTAGGAAACAACTGTGTACCACTCTCCCACCATCACTCATCCTTTACTGGCATCTCTGCCCCAGACCGTGAAAGAGGAAACTCCCCTTCTGTCCCCATCCCAGGTCAGCCCTTCGGGCACAGATTCCTGACTCCACCCAGTGAGGCCCATTATTGGGACTTCTCAGTGAACCTCACTTCAGATGCTCAGGGGCACAGGACTCCCCGTGTCAGCCACCACCTGGAGCAAACGGAGACTCCAGTTCCCATCCTGAGCCTCCTTTCCCCGGTCCTTTCTCCAAGCTCCTGCCCCATCGGCCTCACCCACAACTCACAGGAGAGGAATCCCGGACCCCTCAGGGCCCGCGCTGCCCCTCTTCTCCTGCCTGCTGAGGATTCGCAGCAGGATATTGTATACATCTTGTTCCATGTAGCCCTGGGGGTGGCAGGAAAGAAAGGAAGGGAGGAGAAGAACAGAAAATGGGGAGACAGGTGAGGGAGAGGCCCTGAGGAATGGTGGAATGCTGTTTGCTAACTATGAGCCCTCACTTAAACAGTATTTAACTTCAAGGATGTTTCCTAATCTTGTCAAGGAAAGCAATGATGTTTCCTTTTCAGGCCTGCTGTGAGGGTTAGAACCCTGAATCTGAGGCAAAGCTTCCGGTGCACAGTAAGTGTTAGATCCTTTGTAGTTATTAGTCCTAATAGGGGAGCGAGCCCCCCACCTCCTCTTCCTTGGTGAGGGATACACAGGCAGAGGAGGGAATTGAGAAAGGGCATAAAGGACAGGAAAAGGCTTTCCCGTGGGTCAGGAATTGAAAAGGGGGGACAAACACCTCTCCCCCTCACATTCCCATACCTCAGGAGAGCCGGAGACCTGGCACTAGAACATCTAAAGGCTGGCTTTCCGGGAAATGATAAATGTGTGTGGGTAAGAAAAGGACCCAAATGCAGTCCTCCCTACCCAACTCTCTGCCTCCCTCCCCCTTGCTCACCTGAGCAGCACTCAGTAGATGGTTTCTATAGGTAGAGATGATCTCTTCATGGTTCTTCTGAGAATCCTGGGGGTGAGCATCAATGGGGGTTATGTGCCCACCCTCCCATACTCACCCTGACCCCCAAGCATGAGGAACAATAAAATTAAGTGGTCAGCTAGGCCCGATGGTCTCCCTCGACCGCTCACTAGCCCATCCTGGACCACTGCCTGAACAGGTCTCTGTGGTTCCCAGAATTCTCCCACATCACTTCCCCCATCCACCCTCCTCTCTAGCCGTGACCATTTCCCTAGGGACAAACATACCCGCAGCTGCGAGGCAAGGCGAGCATTTTCCCCCCGAACTGCCAGGACTTCCTCTGAAAGCTGCTCCACCTTCTTCAACAACTCCTTGATCTGAGGCCACAGGGAACCAGTGAGGCCCAAGTCATGCCCCCTCCTCCCCCCCGCACCACCACCCA